TACCTTAAATAATGAACCCGATGTTCAAAATTATCGATATTGGAACAAAGAAAACCAACACAGGTTTGTCGAAACAAGGACGCAATATCCACAGAAAGTAAATGTTTGGGCAGGGATATTCGGACACAATATTATCGGGCCATTATTTCTTACGCGAAATTTAAATGCAGAATATTATTTGGAACTAGTGACGTGTCGGTATTTGAGTAACGCGATTTTGGAGCGGTATTTTTTTGTAACGCCGTGTCGCGCTCCACAACGAATGGGGAACCTGTTACTGAAGAACGTCGATCATAATGACGACAACATTATAAATTATTTATAATTTGCAAATAAATTATTTATAATCGCTCTTAAAGTTAGTTTGAACCGTAGTAACCGCATAGCGACGTGTTAACTCTAGCCGTCGCGATTTCGTCGGTCGCCGTTACTGGAACTGTACGTAGCGTCGGGCGATCTCGATGGCGACGGAGGCGTGTTCCCTCCAGACGCTCCAGCCGTCGCGCTCCTAGAGTTGTAGTTCCCTGTCGCGTAGCTGCTGTAACTGGGTATCGACGCTCGACCTCGGCAGCCTACTTCGCTCCAGCCGTCGCGCTCCAGGAGTTTTAGTTCCCTGTCGCGAACAGAAGTAACTGCTGTAACTGGCTATCGACGCTCGCCCTCGGAGGTGGCTTACTTCGTTCCAGCAGTCGCTGGAGCGCTTCTAGTCATTTCGTTTTCGCCTGTAGCGATTGAGTCGGTTACTATTAGCGTTGGTGCTCCCGTCGCTACGTTACTTTTGATATAGCGATTTTGGTATGTACTAAGCATGGTATAAAATAGCGTTGTTTGAAAGATGAAACGTAAAAAGCAAATAAAATAAAATGAAAATTTTATTTGCTTTTATACATTTATATAAGTTTTATTGTTTATATCTATTTTTAAGGTCTGATGATGGCTGGAATTGCCGAAACCGGTCGCCAATAAAGATTTTTTTTGACAGTGGTTTGTGGGACTAGGTAGGTAGTATAAAATAAAAGTAGGTGCCAATGCCAGAAATACTACATAAGCGAGGACCGCGACACTTAGGAAGTTGGAACCTCGATTACAAAATCGCGGTATTTTTCTGGAACTGTCGCTATTGTAACGCGACTCATGTGGAACCGGTATTTCCATCACTATTTGGAACTACTCGAAAATCATATTTACCTGCTTTATATGATGCCGCTAGGGAGAATCAGGAAGTTTGGTACCAAATGGATGGCTACCCGGCACATAGTACCCTGGCTGTTCGGGAATATTTAGACAATAGTTTTAACAGAAACGTTATTGGCTTAAATGATACAGTAAATTGGCCAGCAAGGTCTCCTGATATTTCGCCAAATGATTTCTTTCTCTGGGGCCATTTAAAAAACAGGATATACAAGGATAAAAAATACCCAAATCTAGACGAGTTAAAAAATGCTATTTCTCCGAATGCAATAGAATTTCAGTTTACCAACTAACGAATGTAAGAAGAGAATTTTATGATCGCCTGGGTTATTGTCTAGCAGTCGATGGAGGAATATTTGAGCATCTTAAATCCTAAAGTTCTGACAATTTAATAGTACCTAAATTAATAAGTTATTGAATATTGTAATAATACTATAATTAACCTTGTAATTGATTACTTTATTTTACTTTAATTCATATTAATTTGTATTTATAAATACATCTTTAAGATTTCCGATGTAGGAATGAGTTTTCAATAATAATAAAGCACTAAATAGGTAAATTTGTGAAATAACAACTTCATTTGACAGTTATCTTTTACCTTGACTGGTGCTCATAAGTAAATACAGGGCCATAAGAAAGGAGAAATATTTAAAAAGAAATCGGCGATAACTCGTAAACGAGCTAATCAAAAATATCTAAAGTTATTCTTTTGAATGTGGCTTTTAGTGCTCTTCAATAAACCTAAATAGAATTATTCTCTAAAATAATTAGGGAAGCCAATAATTGACCCTATTAAAATTTACATGGGATTTCCTATGTCCCGTCCGACGATGCAACACCCGGTATATATAATTTATCTTACAACTACAACACGGGAAATCGATTTATGAAATAAATATTGCAATACTTTGAAGAGAAATTGTTTTGATTGTTTAGGTTTATTTAAAATAATTTTCTAATAAACGAAACAATTTTTAGTGTAACAATAAAAGACAAGGAGTCTCTTGGAATATCTAGTATTGTCAGAAAAATCGTAATGTTTTATGTTGGTGATTTTTACAAACTACCAGAACCACTAATACATGATACTCTCCTAGATGAAGTCACACGATTAACTTGTCTTTTCTGTGAAGGAGCAGTTCGCGAAGATGCAGTGAGTATTTTAAATACAGTAAAATTATGCATTGCTTATATTATACAGGGTGGCGCCTTTCATACGCCGCGGAGGCTCCAAGGAGAACGACAGTTTGTATTGAAATAAATGTAATTTTGTGAGTATATGTAGGTTTAATTCAGAGCACTTTTTAAAAATATATGGAGTTCTACAGGGTGTCCCCAAAAAAAGTTACATATCAAAGTTGTGTTTTTTGTAATGGAACACCCTATATATTAATTGATTTTCGGATTCTGGGAGAAAAATGAAGGTGGGTTTTATAAGAGAAGTATATGACTGAAATGTAAGGTTTTTGACATATTTAACATTTTCTAGAAATAAAGAACAATTTTTAAATTACTAAACTTACCTAAATTAATAAAATAAATAAATAAATAATAATTACTTAAAATTACTAAAATCTACCTAAATTGGAATTTACCTGATATATAGTTAAAATAACTATTAAAACCTGATCCAAAAAGTTATGCAGGGTGAGACAAAATTAATATTAAATATTGGTTACCTTCAAAACTATTTTTATTCTTTTATTTTAAATGGAACTCCCAGTATATTATTCCTGATATTCAATAGAGAAATTAATTTCTCTTCAAAAATACTATTAAGGTTGTCTACCCCCTCAAACAAAGATTTTTCCTAAGATATTTTCATTTACATGATTTGATCTGAGTAGATCTTTATTATTTGATAAAATCTATGTGGCTGTGATATGGTCTGACGTTACTTGAACATAGCTGTCTAATTAGTCTAACTTTAACAACTTGTTATCATTTTGTCAGTTAAAACAAAAAAAAGTTCTCAGAAATTTGTCGAAAATGCAAACTTATCCTACATCAGAGAGGATTGATTTCTATTAGTTGGTGAATGCAGTGTGGTGAATGCAATTAATAGAATACTCCTGATTTTATCTAGTCTGTTTTTTTATGGGGATATATTAAAGACAGTATTTACAAAACTCGATCAACTATTGTCGACAACATGAGAGAAATTATCGTGGCCACTCTTCGAGGTAGAACTCCACATATGCCTTTTAAAATGAAAATATTCTTTTGAAAAGACAGTGATGTTAAGCATTTAACAGGAAAGTGAGCATTTTGAGCATTTGATTTCATCTAGCTAATTTTTGACACATAATTATTATATAGGTTTATATCTAGTTTTAATTCTGTAATAATTAAAATATGTTTTAAATGTGTATCTTTTTATTACCGTTGAGTATTTTACTCTACAATCTTTAATTTTTGTTAAATTAACAAAAGGTATATCACAGCCATCTCCTAATTTTTTTCAAATAATAAAGATCTACTGCCGCAATATCATAAAAAATAAAATATCTAGGAAAATCTTTGTCTAAGGGGTAGGCAGCCTTAATAATATTTTGAAGATATATAAATTCCCCATTGAACACCGGAATAATATACTGGTTGTTCCATTTAAAATAAAGGAGTAACTTCTTTTAAAAGTGACTAATGTTCCATATTAATTTTGTCTCACCCTGTTCAAATTTCAATTTGGTTTAACATACAATGGTTATTGTAATTAAATATCAGGCTATACAAGGTCAAGTAAAATTTAGGTAGCTGTTACCGAAATTTAAAATTTACTCATTTTCACAAAATGTGAAATATGTCAAAATCCTTAGATTTTAGGTATATGCCTCTTTAATAAAACTCACCTCCATTTTTCCTAGAATCCGAAAATCGATTAATATATAGGGTGTTCCATTAGAAAAAACACAACTTTGATGTGTTACTTTTTTTGGGTGTTGCTTTTTTACTACATATTTTTATAAAATGCTTTCAATCAATCTACATATGCTGCCAAAATTTCATTTCGATATAAACTACCGTTCTTCTTGGAGCTTCCGCGGCGTATGAGAGGCGCCACCCTGTACAGATTGTAAGTGAATAAGTGCCAACATTTCAGGAAGTGAATCTGAAGAAATAAACGTGTTTTTTCTTGTAATTTTTCACCATTTGGTAATTCTTTATAACTATTCATTTAAACAGGGTGAACAAGAAAAAACTCTAATGTCGTATTATTCTAACTGAAACTAACCATGTCAAATATTGTGGTTGGCTAACTCTTGTTACACACGAATTCCGTGTGGGTCCTCTAATTCAAAACAGTATAAAATACTTCTTTGGTCTTGGTGAACTTATTAACTTGCTAGGTTAAAAGTAGTCTTGAGTGCCACAGACTCTTGTAAATTCATTTTAATGAGTTTTTTGCCATGAAAAATATGATTTTGAAAAAAAAAATCTTTAAAATAGTTTTTTTTTTTTTTTTTTTTTGGTTTAAAATTTGAGAAATTATTTTTTTTTTTTTTTTTTTTGTATTTTTATATTTGAATATTTGAGGGTGAGCTGCTTCAATTAATATTTCGACGTCCTCTATCATTCCCCGAAAGGAATCATCCTGTATGTATTCAATTTTTTGAAACAAATAAGTAGGGATAATATCGGCGGACGACTCTTGGATAAGCTCCGCTAACTAGCAAAAGTAATTATCTCCTAAACTTCTTTGCACTTATTCATTTTCGTCCTGTATAGCTATGATTTTATGATTTTATGTTTCAATGAATTTTTGGGATCCAGATGCAGATAGATTTTTTTCTGAATCTCTCGAGAACATGCTTGAAGCATGGAACTCAATTTACCATGACTTTCATCAAATAACAGATGAAAGTATAACTTCATGTGGAATGAGAATATTTAATAAACTAATGTACAATGCCATTTGGCCCAACCTGATGGTATCAGAATACCTGATACTGGTGGTAAGTAACAGTTAAACCTTTCAGATTTTTTTATTTTTAGCAATTTTATATAAAAGTTATATTAGTATATTAATTAACTCGACACACGCAAATTTCACCAATGCACATCACCAGATAAATATTTTACTGACAAACGGACTACCATCACTTATTCCTCCTAAATAGCTGGCTTGTCCCCGCATTTTCTTTTGGCAAAATAAATAAATTACTTTGAAATTATAATAACAGACCATGGTACAAAGGCAATTTTCAATTTCGTTCGGTTTACGCGCCACTCTGCCGGTCATATGCCGCTTCTTCTATCCATATTGTTTCCGATTATAGCCGAAAAGACCAGCCTAAAATAGGGAAGAATTGGGACATAACCCCAAAAGTTATGTCAAATCATATAACTTGACATTTGAAAAGTTATGACACATTTATTATGTGTCAGCTGTTTGACAATTTGAAATTGGCGCGCGAAACTTGACGACCCAGCCGTTGCCGGTTATCACCTGTGACTTAGTGACCAACCTGCGCAATATCATACAACGTTTTCTTAATGTATCATGATGACAAGACCATTCATACGCAATAAAGTTACGTACGGTATATTACATGTTGGTTATTGATAGTTGGACCAAACTATAATCTACTGTTTACTACGAGCTATTTTTAGGTGAAATAAATATCAGAATTAGGAGTCATGACAGGATAAAGTATAAAGAACAACTTCAAATTGTTGGTCTATTTGGTCGATGCGTTCTTGATGTTCGCTACCAGTTTTGGTAATTATAGAAACAATAAAGTTGATTGGATAAAGATTCAAGGAGGATATATAAATACTATCCATGTATTCATGCACAGTAGACGGAGAGAGGGCTTTAGAGATTGGGGATTCTTGACAGTTCTGTTTGACAGTCCATTTTTTGATTTGAAATTTTGTGGATTTGTCAGTCTTTACTGGGCTTATTTTCATGTTATTAATTTAATTCTACCGATAGTTGGTTTTAAAATGGTTCAATCTACAGAAAATTATGGCAAGATTTAAATTAACAATGACACTATTGCAGTTTATCAAAAAATTGTAAATTATGGTTGTGTAGCGTACGGTATATCTCAATCAAATCAGGGAAATAATGACAAATTTTAGCTAGTAAGTGACTATTAAATGGTAATCGCAAATAATTTCCATTTTGTGATCAACTTTGGGTGACAAACGATGGCGACAGCGCTGCCAGATTTTGATGGATTTATGATGAGATCATAATTTCAGGTGACAAACAAATGTATTTATTATATCATTTTTTAAAAGATTTTTTTACGTTTTATTTTTTAATTTAATATCTAAGATTTTAGTAATTAATTGATTTATTTGTTTTTGGTTAGGTTATTATACATATTTTACATAGTACATATATTCTGCATATTTTACTGATTTTTTTGCTTATTTTTTCTTTCTGCATATTACATATTGGCAAAACTAGTCCATTATGAAGCGTTAATATGGGTGATTATGTACATCTTACAACGCCACAAGTGTTAATAACAAGTAAGAGGGTGCTATTAATGCACAAACTAATAATCACAAGAATTTAATAATAACTAGCAAAATAACTTTGAGTGGTGTAATATGCTTATCAATCAAACTTACTTCTCTGACTGGTCAAAGGTAATAAAGGTATAAAGGACCTTTATTATCACATTCTCGTTCAAAATATTTTATCAGGGGAGCTACAAGCGCTTTGCTTCGACTGTTTAAATCTTCGGCATATTTTCAACACACAATTTCAAGAAATGCAAATACAAAGCTCAGAAAATTTAATTCTTAAAAAGAACTGTTTGTTGCTTAAAGTAGGCAAAAAAACGAGAATTACTCATAAAGATTCACAACACGATATTATACAAAATAATGACATTAGGATAATTGTCAAATAATAAACCTTGCTGAAAACGGCGCATTGTGACCAACATAGCGATAATAAAATTCGGTTTAAACTAATTTTGCAGCTTAATCTAAATAAAATATCTGTTACAATCATTTGCCCTATAAAGTAAAATGAAGAACTTTGCTTTCTATGTCTTAAATTATATAACAAATTTAAACATTTTCGCCAGTTGTTAAATCCGGGTTAAGATGAGTTGATGACGTGCATCAGAAAATGTTTTGCGATTACAATTATATTATACAAATTTGTATATTATACTATACATATGTGAATAATAATCATTTTGATACATGGAAATATAATTATATCTTTTTCTTGCATTTTGCCTTTATCTACACTTGTCAAAGATTAGATTAGATGTCAAAGAGTTTAGATACGTCAATTTGAGTTACATAGGTTTGGGATAATGTGCATATTCTTAGGACTAATGCTAATTCAAAACTGAATCGCGCATGCTCAAAGCTAGGGGTTTTAAGAATTCTCGAAATAATATCTGACATGTTGAATTTGACGATTTATAAATATTATAAATAAAAAAAAAAAAAAATAAATTATTATAAAAAGTTTCTATAATTGAAGTTTTAAAAAATATTAAAAAAAAAAAAAAAAAAAAAGTTCAAAATTATTAAAACAGAAAATTCATTATATAATTAATTATTGAAAATTGTTGATAAATTCTAACCAAAAAACAAAAAGTAAAATATTTTGATTTTTTTTTTTTTTTTTTTTTTTTTTTTTTTTTTTTTTTAAAAAAAAATTCAGATAAGTTCTAACTAGGTATAGTTTGTCAAGTTTTGCTAGGTTTCAAACAATAACAATTTCCCAATTTTCAAATTATGATTTAGATGTTCATAAAACCTTTAATCTGCTGATTAGATTAGCTATTCTGACTATTCTCTCTTGGTATATATACAGGGTGTCCCAGGCTGAACGTGCATTAGAAGTTTCAAGAGAACAACAATATCTAGACCGGAGACACTGGGTTTGATTCTTTTCATATTTTTACCAGGCAACGAGCCTCTGTTACACCAGGTTTTTCTCAATTAAGTGCTGGCGAAAGAAGCTAAAATACTTAAATATTATGACAAACCCCGATTTCAATATTGTTTTATTGCGATCGACACACGGTGCATCAGTGTAAGTTTGGGTTCGTTGGAGGACTATTAAATTTCTGGTTTAAAATATTTTTGAGGTGCAGTATAATGTCAAGTTGTTTTTTTTTTTTTTTTTTTTTTTTATTACATTTTTAGTTTCTACGATTAAAATAAAGGTAAATTTGATTTAAGGTTTATTACATACCGTTTTTGAAATATTTTTCAATTTTTTGTGAAATTGCAGTATAATTTTAAACTGTTTCTCAGAAAGTGTCAGGTTTTTAATACTAAATGACTGTTATTGAGAGGTTTATTTATTGATCAGTTATTGTGTTGCAATAATAAAAACTTTACTACCTTATACAGAGTGTCTAAAAATTTATTTTAAATAATTACAACTATATAACGGCTTAATAACTTTTTAATTTCAAATGGAACACCCTGTATTTTATGAGAATCAGATGCATAATTTAATTGTCTATCAAATTGCTGCCATACCGTTTTTGCCTATCTTTAGTTTCATTGAAAATGTTTTTCTTATGATTCAATTTCATTCTCCGTATAGGAATACCCATTTAGATTCATTGCCCAAGATCTTCAGATTTTCAAAGGGTGCGAATACTAATATTATCAATATAGTTCTAAAATGAAAAAAACTGTTTAAAAACTGTTTAAAAAAAAAAAAAAAAAAAAAAAAATTGTATATTTTTATAACAATTTTAATAACTACCAACATTTATTGATAACGTAAAAAACAGTGGAAATTTATATTTTTTAAAATTTGAACTCTAAATCTTCAATCTCAAGGTAGTGAGTTCGAATCCCACACCCGGCATTTCATCAACCGACTATTTTATTAAAATAAAAATAGTTTGGGTACCTAGGTCGACTCAGCCTCAAATGAGTACTTGGGATTCTGATCAATTAATAATAGGCGGTTGAAGCGTGGTGCTAGCCACATTACCTTTCTTGTATAACGAACGGCTCTAGTATGGCAAGCTGTACCTTGCTACTCTGGTGTTGCGCTAGCACTATGCAGGGGCCTGTGGTATATTAAAATAAAACAACAAATTATTGAGGTCTCTACCTACATCATTTTTACACGTTGTGATTAAAATTAGAACGGCACCGATTAACCGGAATTTAAGTCAGCCATTCTAAAGGAACCCGTCGCTGACGATCTAAGATTTATTGATATGCTCCTTCTTGATCTTTTTGTTCGAGATCAATTAGTTGAAAATAATATTCGAGAAAATGTATTCGAAAATTTTCTGTAGGATTCTGGAGGCACGGATAGCGTCGTTGTTGTCTCATTTACTAGTCATGCGATGTTCATAAACGCTAACATGGACAGCATCTGAAGTATACTGGGCTGTTTAATATCGGGTCCATGTTCTTGATAGAGCACGTGTGCGAATCTTCAGCGGATGTTCTCATTGACAGAACGGCAAGGTTGATAAAGATGACAGTGTTGACGCATTAGTTTACGTGGATGCCAGGGTATTATAAAAATGTTTAAATGATTAGTATGTCATTATTGTCTAATTCATGCTTAAATGTCAAACATTTGAAAAATATTACTTAAGCTTGATTTTCGACTGCATCGTTATTGACGATGGTTTATACAATATTAATTGGTTTTGATTTAAAGACTTCGATTGTTTAGAAACGGTTAACCAATCAGTATTAATAAATAAAATCATTTTATTTTTTTAATTATCTGCTGATGATTAAAACTGGAAACAGATGAATTGGATGCCTAGATTAAATGTACCGGGTATTAACTCAGAATGGACGCCGGCTGTGTCACAAGAACTACTTCCATCAATGTCTAACCGGGTAAATCGACAAAGTAACAAATTACTTTCGGTTCAGAAAATGCCACTTCAATACAAACTTCCTTTCTCTGCTTTTTTATTTTCTGAAAAAAATATTTTCAATATTATTATTATAATCATCGATGAATTTGTAATTTTTTATGTAGGTGGTATATCTCAAAAAATAAGTGGTGGGGGAGTTAAACTTGCTTTTATTAAAATAAGGATAACTCTGGTTTGGGTTGCGCGATTTAAAACAAACTAGGGCTCATTAAAAGAGCTTTTCTGTAGTGATCAGTATGAATTTTGTTTCCACAATTTTTTTCGTGAGGGCGCTGTTTGACATCATAACAGATATTGCGCTTTTGCGTAAAAAAATTAAATAGGAAGACTATATTTCTCTTTGCACAGTTAAATAGAGCACAAAATTTCCAAAATATCAGCGCAAAACGCAAGTTTCTATCTTCTCTCTAACCGCTGATTTTAAGAGAACAAATCATGTTAGGCTGCAGCCTTACCGGGGAATTTGTTGCCTCGTTGTTTTAACAGAAAAAACCGCCGAATTTCGTATGGCCGAACTAGGGGTTTATTTCATTTAACGTCATTTAGCTATTATGTTCGTCCTTGATTTCCCTTGTTTTCGTGTTTTACCATGTTGTTGTTATTATTATATTATAAAGTTTATGTCGTTTGGGTCATTTTTCATATAGCACCGAATGAAGGTGCGAATCTTAACAAAATGCACCACTGCTCCAATTCTCCCTTGATGTAAGACCATTGGTCGGTAAATGTTTACCCACGCATGAATCCTAGGATGGCGAATGATTGGACTTTTTAATTATCTGAATGGAATGAACTATCCATAATTTCTAAGAAATGAGTTGCCAATTTTGTTAGGGGATCCATCATGAATGCAGTTGGTGTGTAGTTGATGCAGTTGGTGCAGTGGTGCCGCTTATTTTGCTATGAATGTGTGGATTCACCGCCCCATACGATACAGTTTGATAAAACGGATCTGAGACAACAGGGCAACAGTAAAGGGGGTTCAATTTTGTGAGAATGCGATAAGTTTTAGTTTCCATGAAATATCCAGAGGCATTAGGTGTTTGTAAAAATATAATAGGGTACACATAATATTTTCAGTAAAGTTTATAATATTAATTTCTTTCAATGTGCCTACATTTTAGTCATTGTCAATGTAGTATCATTTGTTAAAACATGCTAATTACAATAAGCGAAATCAGTTCTTGGCACCAAATTTTATTATAATTTTACTGGTTTTGCATTAGTAGTGGCTGTTTCTACTATTCCTAGAGAGGGGCATAGAGTTGAGGGTAATGGCGGCAAGACGTGCGAGAATCTCGACCAATCAGATTGGTTGAATCCAGGATGCCATGATGAATTTTGTCAGCGTTGCCAGCTTGCCCTAAGCGGACGTTATTTTAAATACTTTTACCTTTTATAATAGGGAGAAAATGGGAGGAATTAGGTTGATTCAATGTATTAGAACAACGTCAAGATATTAGCATATATATAATGATGTATGTTGACTAATCATATTCAGCTTATAGGTAATATTTAGACGCTTTGTTTTTCATTAACAACGTCAAACTTTTTTGCCAGATTCCTCTTGCTGTTTAAGATCCGTTTGTCAGATAATAGATAGAGACGCTGGAGCGGCATATTTCCATAGCCAGCTCGATTCGTGGGATTCTACAATATGCGGGTTTTGGTGTGAGTTAGATCAAAGGCATGGATAGATAAGAATTAAACGGTATTAAAATGAAATTAAAATATATGTTTTGATATTTTGACGTAACCAATTTACCTAACCCAGCCTACTGCTACCTAACCTACTACTACTGATTTTTGGGACTATGCCATCCTAAGCGGCCTAACATGATTTGTTCTCTTAATATCTCCGGTTGGAGATAAGATAAGTTGCGGTTTGCTCTGATATTTTGGAAATTCTGTGCTCTATAGTGTGTAAAGAGAAATGTAGCCTCCTATTTCATTTTTACGCAGCGCAATATCAAACAACCCTATTTCACGAAAAAATTGTGAAGCAAAGTATGCTGAGTCTTCAGGAAGAAAATCTCTTTCAAACAAGCCCTAGTTTGTTTAGTTCATAAACTAGGCCTGGAGTTAACTTTAATTTTGTAAAGCCTTGGGGTTTAACCTTCTACCTTTTATTTTATTTTTTTTTTTTTTTTTTTTTTTTAAAAAAATACCAATTTCTCGATGATTACAATAGTAATATTTAATATACCTGTTCACCTGCATATTTTTGAGAAAAACCCTGTTTCTTATTGGCTATTAGAGAAACGCCCCCTAGGCATTTCTCGAACTTGAAAATAATTAACAGCAGCGGTTTCTCTTAGTCTATTGTTATTACTTATTATTAGAATTTTTTTCCCAAAGATATGATAAGTAGTTTCTGAGATATAGCCGCCGTCCATTGTGGTTTTTCCATGCATAAAAGCCATATGATTAGCATTAAAAATTTTAAAATTTTCAGAATTTTGTTAACAAAAGTTTCACTAGATGTTAGTAGATTTCCTGACCAAAATATGTACACCATAAATCCACTTTTGATAAATTAATGTATTCCAAAATAATTTTATACGGTTAGAAAGCACAAATTGTACATTGTTAGCCAGTTTTCATTAATGTATTCATAATCATATATTGAAATAAATTTAGTTGGTCTAAGTCAGGTTTTGGGTCACGCGACCAGCAGCGCACCCGATCTGGCGTTACCACTATAGGTGCTTTTGGTTTGGGCAGCGCAGCGAAACAAATGTTTTATGGCAATCAAATTCAGTCTTCAAAAATTCCAAAAATCTTTCAAAATCTAAACCGCTCTCATTGAGAAAATTCCGAAAAGTGTTCAGCGTTCATTTTCAAAGTATTTATTGCTATTTTGTGAGTTTAAAGGTTTATTTACTCAAACCCATGAGAATTGTGAAAAAATGGCATTAAAAACTTAAGAAAAAACTGTGCTGTGAACTGCTGGGCTTGCAAAAATAATCGTGGATCGTGGCATAACGTCGGTTCCAATGTTCCATAGGTATTTCATACACGATACTTACACCATTATATATCAAATGAGTTTCTTGTGTACCTTTGTATTTTGTTGCAAAATTAAAAAGGAAATAATAATAAATTTGGATAAACATTTTTGGCGATATAATTTCAGAAAAAGCCGAACCACTCTGAAAATTTTCAAAAGTTTGGGTCGCGACCGTTGCAAGAATAGCGCCAAATAGTGTTTGCATTGATATTCGCCATAGGGCGCCATTCAACTTGTTTATCTATGGCCTTAATCTTATTTCCATTGTGGCGCTTTTTGCGTTTTCATTTATCGGTCAGCACCATACAATAAAAGATATAGAGTCGCCCGATGAAAGTTAATTTTAAGTTTGTGCAGTTCATCTATTTTTAATTGGACTTTTTGTGTCTCACAATAAAAATGAATAGAATGCGTTTGGTGTGTGGAAGTTCATGCCATAAAGTTCCTCAGATTATCCTTTTATGACATTAGTATTGAATCTTGGTTTTAACTTTGTACATACTTTCTGGTTAGATTTCCTAGGAATATTTATATTCGTTCAGAGTGGCTAAGTGTATTTTTATAATTTATTTTGTGACAGTAAACGTTTCAATTTACTGTTCACATATATGCATTAAAAAATCCTAAAAAATTAAACGCGTTTCGTAATATGAAAAAATTCGTTTTCATTCTTCCAGTTATTAATTAAATTTAATTCTTTTTTTTTTTTTTTTTAGAATTTTTTGGGAGGGGAGTTAATCACCGCGACCTTATGGGAACTGTTCCATATTGGTTCGCTCATTACTTTTAGTCGCCAGACTTTAGAAGGCTAACCTCAGGACAGCTCCGCGATAGCTCTCATCCTCGACATCAGACGTACCAGGGTTCATGGCACGAATGGTCGTCGTCTCGGCACACTCAATGATAAGGGTGAATTTCTGGTGTTTCCCATTTTTCCCACAAGTTCTCACAATTAATTATTTAGTTCAATGCTACATAAATAGTAATAATAGTTATCAAGGAAAATGTGATGCTGTGGCGAAATAGGCGTTGATAAAATTAACAACAGCCATGTATCCAGAATGAAATAAATTGATATAGTACAAATAAAACGCCTTTTGATTTGCTTCAGGACTTCAATTTTCTTTCAAAACTGAAATTTGAATGGTATAAACAGGATTAACTACACTCACCAGCAAAAAAACCGTTCACTAAAAACTAGTCCCAATTAATTTCAGAGTTGGATTTGCTCGAACTTTGTGACACCCTGTGGGGTGCAGCAGCTATAGTAGCTATCGCTAAATCAGTTCACATTCTCATCTTTTGAACATTTTGTTTTTGATAAATTTATCTCTGTTGATGAATAAAATGGGCCAGAATATGACCGACGGTTGCAGGCTGAAGAACTTGATGCTCGGCGATAATGCGAGTAGCTGAGGTCCTGGCAGGCCTCACTTGCGAACCAACGTTTTTAAGTCTTCATTTAACTCTCTACTGACGGCAGCAAGGTTCTAGGCACGGCTTGTAGCAGATGTTGATTCTGGAATGCTGTAATTCTACGATTTCGTGAAGTATTCAGGATAATAAAGTGGTCGTCAATTGCGTTTGTCTTCCGTTTTCTTTCGGAACCCACTCGCCTGGTGAAATTTCTCGGTTCCATATACCGATTCCAGGCATCCTGGACTGTTGTTCGAGGGTATCGGACACATAACGTTGACTTCGACCGTCCTCAATTAAAGCCACAATACGAGCAACATCCGTCACAGATATCATCTTTTAATTTGACAACCGTTGTTGTCATATTGCAAATACTCATAAATCCGTTTTCGCCTACATATGCGAAACAGCAATACTGCGAAATCGCCTTGAACATAAAACTTTTTGCCTGCAAAGCATTTTTCCGAGACGTTCGTTTTAAAGCAGCGTATCTCCAATACAAACAGAGATAATGTCGTGATTAAAAAAAATAAAATGCTCACAAAAGATAAGGGTACAATGTGATTTGATTTAGCAATAGCTATTACAGCTGCTTCACCCTACAGGGTGTTACAAAGTTCGAGCAAAAAACTTCGTCTTATTTTTGTGCCCTGTATATGCTCAAAATAAATTCGGAATAAAAATTTCTGACGTAGCATCTGTTTAGAAGGAATTAATTTATAATTAAAAAAAATCATCAAAATCTAATGAGTGGTTCGCGAGAAATCCGACTTTGAAATTGGGACTAGTTTTTAGTGGCCGGTTTTTGTTTGCCGGTGAGTTTATTTTAGAACAAGCAACATTTTTTATGAAGAATGCATTTTTCTCAAAATGCCAATAATAAAAAAGTTTTCCTCTTGTAAAGACAATCCGGGACATACTGTAGTGTTAATTTCAGTAAAGTATGAAAAAACTCTGCTTATTTTTTATCTGATTTTAGCCTGGTCTACCAGACAGAGCAGAGTATCTAGATCATACAATCAGAGTTGCATTCAATGTTTTGAGACTGTGTGCAATAGAAGATCTTGCCGTATCAATGAAATTGGGTCATCTTTGGAGCCCTGAAGTGAGCTCATCTCTAATGTGGTTTATGAAAAGATGGTATCGTACTTATTTATTAATACCTCTTGACAACTATTTCAATGAAGTAAGTTTTATTTTGTTGTTAAAAGCAGTGGCGGCTCGTGACCTGTGGGACTGGGTCGGCGACAAGTTTTTAGTTGCATCTATTTGCCCCCCCCCCCCTAAATTTACATAATACCCTAACCCAGTTCGTAAATATATGTTAACTCTGGGTTAAAAACATAGCTCAAGAATATTTAGGACAAAACTAAACCAAAAATAGCAGCGTTCAACGTAATGACATAATAATTGACATAATGTACAAGTATAAGTTTTTTTTATCTCCTCAGATGCTAATTTTTAAGTACTTTGATAAATAAGATAGATAATAGTACCATAGAGTACATCATAGGATTTTATTTTATTTTATTGATTTATGCAAACTTAAAAATTCGTAAGTATATAGACAATTAAATTTACAAAGAAAAACAGATTCTCTTATTCATATACTTACCTATATATTTCGAGACTAATAAAAAAATGAAAGAATAATTATGTTGTATACAGGGTGGGCCACTGAAAACTTACAATGGCTATAATTTCTAAACCAAAAAAGATATCAAAAAATATAAAAAATATCGTTTCTATAATATCGAGGGGGAATACATATGACGTATTTTTTGAACCACACCGACCTACCCCTTAAGGCGGGTGTTGCCATTTAAGTCTTTATGGCAACACCCTACTTATGGCGCCTTTTTGGAAAGCCCATGAAAAATGCTAAACGATGATCATAAAGTTTTTAGGGTGAAATTGAAAAACTACCCCTTACACGAAAAATTAGGTGGACATTAATGAGAAAAGTTATGCTAAAAAGAAATTTTTTCAGCATAAGTTACAAATTGGAACCCAGCTAAATGAGGTTTTTTTCAAACTACCCCAACCCACCCCTAGGTGCCACCCCTAGGTGCCACCCCCTCACTTCTAACCTCAAGATAGCGATACCCCACTTGTGACACCTCTTTGGAAAGCGTATAAAAAATGCTGAACGACTGTCAGAAGAACGAAAAAAATAGAGCCTAAAAATAAAACAAAAATGTCAAAACGTGTGAAAATCAATAGAATGAATTATTTTTGTATCCATGAACCATTGCGAAAAAAAAAGCTGGTACAAAAGAAATTTATTATAACTCTTAATGAGACCTCATACACTTTCAGCCAGATGGGCCCCTTCTGTTATTCCATTGTCACAAGGCAGGTGGTTGGATAAATATTATCAAGGCATTATGGATTGAAGGGGTCTAATCCAGTGGCCGCCAAGGTCACCTGATCTCACCTCCTTTAGACTTTTCCTTGTGGGAGTTACTAAATCCATAGTCTACAAGACAAAACCAGGTTCGTTGCAATAATTGCGGCAGAGGGAGAACTGAAGCATGTCAGGAAATATTCCGAGAGACTTTCCAAAAAGTGAGAGAAGAATTTGAAAATCGTTTGTATTTTGTATGGAACAAAACGGCTGTCATTTTGAGCAATTATTAAAATAAATTATCATTTAAATTTCTTTCAAATTGCCACACACCTACATTTCTTGTGACTAACCAGTAATTAAGTTAGAAGTCTGTATGACCATCATTTAGCAATTTCAATTAGCTTTCAAAAGAAGTGTCAAGTGGGGTATCGCTATCTTGAGATTGCAGAAGTCAGGGGATGCCACCTAAGGTTGGGGAATTGATTTGAAAAAATACTTCATTGCGTTATTTAGCTGGTTCCCAATTTGTAACTTATGCTGAAAAAAATCACTTTTTTATTAATGTCCACCTAATTGTTCTTGAAAACAGTTTTTCAATTTTACCCCAAAAACTTTATGATCATCATTTAGCATTTTTCATGTAGCTTTCAAAAGACGCCACAAGGTGAGATGTTGCCATTTAAAGATTTTGTAAGTGTACCCAGGGGTGCCTCCTAAGGGGGTGGGTCAGGGGTGGTTCAAAAAATACATCGTCCTTCTTCCCCTCGATATTATAGAAACAGTATTTTGATTTTTTGATATCTTTTTTGGTTTAAAAATTATAGCCATTTAAGTTTTCAGTGGCCCACCCTGTATATTAAATTGATGAGTGGATCTCTTAATAAAGAAAAGTTATTTATTATTATATCAGTAAAATCATTAGATTGTTGAAGGGCTGTGAAAATATCTATTTAGAATGAAAGTAAGGCAAGTGACGATATGTGTAAACGTTTATTTTTCATGGAATTTCTACTGTAAATTTTAATGTATTTCAAACATGAAAAATGTCTCTTAACCCAATTATTTGTATGTTGTTCAGTAAGTAACAATCAAAACAAACCATTTGCAACTCTCTGGAAATGTATTTCCAGGATCATTCTTAAATTATTTTATAATCGAATTATCATATTGTTACGGATTCCGTGGGTCCACTATTTAAACTCACGATAAAATACTTAACGAATTTATTTGTCTCACTCTGTACACACAACTTATACTATTTACAACACAATTTATGCAACTACTAGTACTCTAACGGTATTTCGCGGTATTAGCAAACTTCAGACTTCAGACTATCTTCAGACTGCTCCAACTGTCAAAGCGCGGGCCTTATATACCCCCTGGCGATGGTTTCTGGAATTTTCTAAAGAATTCTGTAATTTTCTTTTACTTTCTGTCGAATTCGCCAGGTTCCTCAATGCACCGTTGCGGTTATGCAACCAGTAATACACCTTGACCTTAACAATATCTATAATTAATACCTGCAATTTGTTCATTAATTTATGTTGGTCAAAAACATTGCGGTAAAAGTTTATTAAATCAGATATTAAATGCTTTGGAAATTTTTTATAGGATTCTTTAAATTTCTGTAAATCAGCAATAGATAAATAAAATTAATTGAGGCATATTTGCAAACCTTATTTCTAAATGTATAACAATGTTATCTAATATTTCATCAAATTCGCCAAGACGTTTTTTTGATTTTAAATCAGATATTAAATGCTTTGGAAATTTTTTATAGGATTCTTTAAATTTCTGTAAATCAGCAATAGATAAATAAAATTAATTGAGGCATATCTGCAAACCTTATTTCTAAATGTATAACAATGTTATCTAATATTTCATCAAATTCGCCAAGAAGTTTTTTTGATTTCCCCCCTTTTATTAACATATCGAATTGAAATAGCACGCTGAGACTTTTCTGTACGGTCTGCTTGGACGGAATAAAACAACGCCCTTTTTATTTCAGATTCTATTAGTTCTGTGGCGTGTTCTGAAATACAACCGGTTATATCATTTTGAATATAGTTTTGAACAAGCCCGAAAAATGTTTCTAATTTCCTGTAAATGTTTTTTGACTCTCCATATAAAAGTTTTAAATATTACGTATAGTGAATTATATGAAATATCGGGACGAAATATCCCTTTAACTTCTAAGCCTACCGAGCTCCCCCGACTTAATTAATGCAAAGTGCAAAGGCGACCGGAGATTTCGCCTAAGCTCCGCCTTAATACGATACAACTCAGACTTACGTCGCGTCGCTACCGCACGATAAGCTAGACAGGGACAGAAGCATACAGAAGACTGCCCTACGTCGTGCATCGACTCTGATAACAGGCGGTGTATAGAAATCGCCGAACAAGGGCCTGTGCAATATGCACACAGTCAAAATTATTTTGTTTTTGTACGCCCGCGGTAGTGATTATTTTAATATACAGGACCACAAAAAATAAATTAATGATGATTATTACAACACTACCGTGTATTAACAGTATTTTTGTGTATTTCAACATTAATAGTAAATTGACAAAATTGTAGGGTAGGCGCCGCCTACCTTGCCTACCCTGACGAGCCGCCACTGGTTAAAAGGTAATAACTGCTACAAAATTTATTTATGTTTCAGGTTGGTTATGTATTTTGGTCTTGTTTAGAGAAAGATAGTGATTGTACCCAAATACAAATAGAGTTTATCATAAACAAAATTGCAGCTAATTTATACAATTTCCAATCAGAACCAGTAGTTTTGAAAGATACAGTTGCAGTTTTTAGTGATGCAATTTGTACGAAGCGAAAGTATGTATGCAGGGTGGCCCATCGAAAACGTTCCGCAAGGCATAACGACCAGGGTAATTTTTTTTCAGAAAATTCAAAAACACGTCAATTTTGTTTGTGAGGGGACAACTTTTGCCCCAAAAATAAATGCAAAATCTTCAACCCTCTAAGCGGGAGTATCATCCCCCAATTTTTTTCCCCTTCGTTTTTGAAAATCGGTCGAGTCATTGAGAAAATATGAAGTATTAAAATTTGAAAAGTTTATTTAAACATTTATCAGAGTAAATGATAAGGATAAATTCCTTCGACCATTTTGCTGTTTTTTCTTATTATTTCTAGATGTTTACGCATTTTTCACTTGCCACAAGGTTGAACGATCAGGTACGGTAGTTGCTAGATTAGATAGTTAGTAGCAAAATTTTGCGAAACTGGGTCCGTTATGAATAAAAAAATGCAGAGGGAAAATCCTATATGGTAAATGAAGCTATGGAGGTATTCGTATTGGGCCAAGTTGCCATGGATAGTACGCTGAATACAAGAAAATTAGCCAATGAGACCGGCGTGAATCGTACAAGTGTCCAAAAGATATTAAAAAAACACAAGTTCCACCCGTACAAACTTCAGTTGGTACAAGAACTGAACGAAGACGATTTTGATCGTCGCTTGCAATTTTGTGAAGCTATGAGTGAACGAGTGGCGAATGATAATAATTTCCTATTTAATGTGTGTTTTTCGGATGAGTGTACTTTCTTTTTGAACGGTGTAGTTAATCGGCACAACTGTCGGTACTGGGCTGAGGACAACCCCAGGGTTTTTCACGAGGTGCACATACAAAACCCTCAGAAATTGAACGTGTGGGCTGGTATTTTTGGAAATTCTATTGTGAGTCAGTTTAACGATATTGAGAAGAACTTCAACGCACAAGTCACCGAACAGCTATCTAGTAACTAACGCACCTGATCGTTCAACCTTGTGGCAAGTGAAAAAATGCGTAAATATCTAGAAGTAATAAGAAAAAAACCTCAAATTGGTCGAAGGAATTTATCCTTATCATTTTCTCTGATAAATGTTTAATAAACTTTTCAAATTTCAATCCTTCATATTTTCTCAATGACTCGACCGATTTTCAAAAACGAAGCGGGAAAATATAGAGAATAGAAAGCCCTTTTCATTGCGGTACAACTGGGCCCCCCTTCCCATTTGAAAAAAGTTGTCCCCCTCACAAACAAAATTGACGTGTTTTTGGATTTTTTGAAAAAAAAATACCCTAGCCGTTAAGCCTTGCGGAACGTTTTCGATGGGGCCCCCTGTATATTCGATACCAAATAAACTTTTAGTTACGTAATCGACTGCGCGATTTTTAAATCCATTGTTGCCAACCATGGACATCTTCGGTCCCGGGCTGACTAACTAGAATTTAAATTTCCCGCTGGGATTCAGGATTCCTTTTGACCCTTTAGTTTTGTTATTACGAGTTTTTGGTTTAAATAAATTATGTTATGTTATTTTAAGCTTAAAAATTTTTTCTAGCAGACCTTGTAGTCCAACATTGATCTTTTTAGAACCTCTTTTAGTGTATAAAATAACCGTAAAAAACTCATCTCAACTTTATTAGAATATTTTGAACGGGAAAGCGGTAATAATGACCGTTTATATCTCTTAAGCGCGTTAAGGAGGTCATTTTTGTTGATGTAAATAATAACTGTTTATATAATTATAACTAATTTTATTTTTGTTAAGATATTTTGACTAAAAGAACATATGTAAAAGTGGGCAACGTTGTGTCCGTCAAGCTTAATCACGTGACTAAAAGTTTATTTATTATGTACTATATCATATCTAAGTACCGGGTGTCCCACTAAGAATAGCTCTCGGCTGTATCTCGGAAAGTATTAGCCGTAGGGTTTAGGGAAAAAAATATTTATTGCTATTTATATATTATTGTTTGAGTTGTTGTTATTACTTGTTATTTATATATTATTGTTATTATTATATATTTATTATTAGTTTATATTAACTAAAGGGGCTATGAGAAATTGCTGGAAATTATTTTCAAGTTTCTAGAACGACCGCTAGGGGGCGCAACTGCAACAAAAAATATTAAAATAGAGTTTTTACACAATTTTGCCTAGATAAGGTGTACTATAAGTAATAGCTTCACAATCTTCACTAAATTTTGAATATTTTTTGTTAGAGCCATTTTCCCCTATCTACCAAAATAAAGTTTTGGGGGAAGGTTAGATCTGTTTTTATTTAAATATTAATAACTCTGGACTGGATGATCGGAATCCAACAAGCGAGGGCTCGTTTAAAAGAGCGTTGCTTACTCTATATTGTACCATATAAACAATAATATGCCTTTATTATTTGAAATAGTTGAAGTTGTTGGCATTTTGAAAAAGCAATTAAAAGATAAAAAACGCTGATAAGACTAACAAAATGTTGATCTAATAACAATTTAACGTTTATACTATTACATCAAAAGCAATTTTTTCCAAAGCCTACCATGACTTCACTGAATTATCGTTTCTTGTTCACTGTTATTAATATCTTAAATTATTAGATATTAATACCTCTGGTATTATGGTATTCTGGTATTTCGTCGATTTTAAAATAAACTAACTGTTTCTATCTTATTTTTTGTTAGAATGGGCATAATTAAGAGGGCACGAGATATCGTGTTGTAAAAATAAAGTAATTAAGGACTTATTTTTTGGTATTTATTATAATTTTGCTAAAATCTTCGGTATGAAAGAAGATATCAAAATGCGGTTTTCGCTGACTTTTTAAGCTTTTGCTACTCTTTACTATCAACTAAAATTACATATACTATTGCATTTAATTTTTTTGAAAAAAACGCGCAATGTTTGTTAAGTTGTAAGACAACGCCCTCTAGCGTCTACGTTCAAAAGCTTATTATTATTGTTTATATGGTACAATATAGAGTAAGAAACGCTCTTTTAAACGAGCCCTCGCTTGTTGGATTCCGATCATCCAGTCCAGAATTATTAATATTTAAATAAAAACAGATCTAACCTTCCCCAACCAATTTATTTTGGTAGATAGGGGAAAATGGATTTAACAAAAAATATTCAAAATTTACTGAAGATTATGAAACTAGTACTTATAGTACACCTTATGTAGGCAAAATTGTGTAAAAACTCCATTTTCTTATTTTTTATTGCAGTTGCGCCCCCTAGCGGTCGTTCTACAAACTTGAAAACAATTTCCAGCAATTTCCCATAGCCTCTTTAGTTATAAATATTTTTTTTCCGCAGCCCCTACGGCTAATACTTTCCGAGATACAGCCGAGTGCTATTCTTAGTGGGATGCCCTGTACATAAATATTATAACTTGTATTTTAGGGTTCCGTATATAATAAAAACAGAAGCAATGGCCAAGCTGATAAGTCTAGCGGAAAACCTACAGCCTGGAAGTTTACCCTCAGAGGTTTTAAGGGGTCTTTACAAGGGTTTTGTTTCAGCTGGTATGTCAATAGATTATTTTCTATTTTACAGGGTGTGCCAAAAAGTTTGCGTCAAATGGGGAAAATATCGAGTTATTGAAAAAAAGTTTACGGCGGAATTCTTCAGCCCGTACTGTCAACATATTTTTTTGACGGCAAATTGAAAAAAAGAACTATTTACATATATGAAATCTCAGTGGCGTGCGTATAATGTAGGCAAAAAGGCGTTGCCTACCCTACTCATTAATTTTTGTTTTCATCCTCATCACATTATGATTAATTTCACTCATGATTACTCCAAAGAATATTCGAAATAAGCATTTTTATTCTAGAGTTTACATAAGATATAATTAGATTATTTTCGGCTTCTGCGTTGTCGCACAATTATTCACAATTATTACATTATACAGGGTGTCCCAGAAATATGTGCAAATATTTTAAGGGGTGGTAGATCTGACCAAAAGAGACATATTTTCTCTTTTTATCACTTTATCACTTGACCTAAAACTGCAAATCTACACTTAACACTTTATTTCACTACGATTCTTGACAATACTACAAAATATCCACGTGTATTGGGCACAAAATACATTCATATATCATCTAAATTATTTACGATTATTTCTTGACATCTCTCACTCTTGTTTTTGTGAACAAACACCAAAATAATTGATATTTCTATTTCAATAATAAAAGGATTTTTACAGGCTTACCTTACATTTGCCCATACTAAAAACTAAAAAGTTTTGTCAGAGGTTTACTGTTTTGAGTGAAATCTCAAATAAATTGTATAACCTAACCAGCTGATTTGAAACTGACTTATGCAGGCAGCTCTGTATACAGACCGGACCACCGTAGTAGTAACATAGGCAGAACCGGACGAATTAGCGTATACCCGTCCGCCGTATGAAAAGCAGGCGAAAAAATGCGATAAAATGAAAATAGGTAGATATGTGATAAGAATGTTTCAGAAATTGTATTTATTCGTATTTTAATAGCCAAAACGAATACATAGATTCTCGCGACAGTTCTCGTGTAAAATGTATTTTTTAAATAAAAGAATGGATGTTTACGAAATTCGTGAGATATTTCAAATTGTAAAATTGTATTTCCAAAATAGGTCTTACAAAAAAATTTTCCACAAACTTTTGTAAACAGGCCAATTCCATCGTTACCTACTATATCAAGAGTTATTAATAATTTTGAAACACATGGGTGCGTCTCCACACAAAAACACAAAAAGCCTGATGTGTTGATTAATGAAGAACAGGAGTTAAAGCAAGTGTTCATTTTTGTGCTACCGCGGATCAAAATCCCACGTTTGCAAGTAATCAAATTGCTGAGGTAACAGATTCTTCACTTTAGTACGGTTAAAGCTGGATTTATAAACTCGGTTCAGTTGCCGTTCAAAATGTTCAACGCTATGAAATGAACGCGCGCATTTATAAAGCCAGTTGGTCGAAAAGTTGGCAGTTCGTTTTACGTTCAGCGGAGTTCATAGATGGTCAATGTTTATGTCGGCAGTTGCGGGCAGTTGGCGACCGCTGGCGACGTTCGGCGACAGCCAATGAATAAGCACCTGTCGATCACGTGAAGTACAGTACGCCGATGCATTGGAAAATGACCCTTATTGTTGTTTCATTATTTCTGTTAATGTAATGTTTATATTTTGCGTAATCGTGGATTACTATGTTTGAACTTTGACAAATACCAAAAGTATTTTTAAATCGAAAGAAAAACGTTCGAAATTTTCACAATTCCAAACCTAACCTACAACCGAAACTGACAGTTTATAAATGCAAAAATATTGAACCTCAACTGCCGCGAACATCCAACTGCAACTGAACCTCAACTCAACGCCAACTTCCGAGTTTATAAATCCAGCTTAGAAGAGTCCTTAAAAAGAACGGATACCGATCGTATAATTAGTGGACATAGAACTATTTTGTGGCTCACTAGATCACCAGATCTTTCTCCCAATGATTTCTTTTTGTGGGGTTATGTAAAATCCAAAGTGTATGGTCATAAATAAGGCTAATAATCTGGATGAGCTTCAAGTAAAAATACGAGAGGCTTTCCAAACTACTAGCCCTAATATGTTAGCCAATGTCAGACGGGGATTTTACGACCGCCTAGGCTTCTGTCTAGCACAAGAAGGTGGTCTTTTTGAACACTTGTTATAACTTTTTTTGTATTTAGAGTAATATTTTAGTTTTTTTGGGTTTAGAGAATTCATTTATTTTTAGTTTTGGCTTGTAAACACACTTAAATAATAAATATTTAAGTATTTTAATTTTAAATGTTACCTTAAGTGAAGGTAAACACTTAAAAATGAAAATAATAACCGACCGACCCGTCTAAGCACAACTGCAACTGCGTACTGCCTGACCAGCCGACTAGCCGGCAGTGACTCTCGAGTACGAACGCAAAACGGGTAAACGTGAATTCGTCCGGCAACTTGCTATGTTACTAGTAGCCTGGTCTTCTCTGTATAAACCCATCCATAGTAAGCTTAAAAAATATTAGAAACTTTTAGTTAAATAAATGGATTGGTATGGACGTTATCTGCTTTTTTTTTCTTTCATCGTCTGTCGAAATCTTACCTGAGAAAAAAAAATAGAGTATAATCCTAAAATTCCCCATATGTTGCGAACTTTTTGACACACCCTATATATAGATTTACAAATATATATCTTGTAGGGGTATATATAACAAGCTCTTCAGAGAAAAATAAGTATTATGAAACTATATTAAATCCATTGAGATTACGATTCAAAAACATTATTACACAAGAAAATTTTGCCAAGGTGTGTCAAGATGATCAAGTACAAAAGATCGTGATTGATTTACTCGAATGCCTTATAGGCATAGCTAAGGGTAATAGTAAGAAAAATCCAGAGATTTTTTTTTATTAAATTGGTTTTTATTTTATACTAGGTTCCCAAATGGCGTCAGTGGATACTTTGTTTGACTTTCTTTCCCCTATTTTGGCAGAACTTCCAGTATTTCTAACATTTTACAAAGACTATCAAGTTATAGTACAATTAATTTTAGAGTTATTTGGACAGTGCGCTAAATATATGTTGTGCTATCTACGGCCTCTGGACAGTAAAAAGTGAGTAATTTTAATACTTTAAAAAAAATGTTGGGTTTTTGCTGAATATTTCAGTTGAACTATAATCCCAGCTTATTGAATACCTAACTATAGCGGAAAACGTTTTTTGTTTCCTTTTTTGACATTTGACGTCTTCCGTAATGAGACCCATGTCAAGCAAAGCGTCAAATGTCAAAACTGCAAATAATTGTAGGCCAGGGGTGGATGGGCCATATGGGAAAACGGGAAAATTCCCGGTGGGCCGGTGGGCCGGTCCCGATCAGAGCTCAAAAAAGATTGGATTAGCAAAAATTAAATAGTTAATCTTCTAACTAAAGTGACGTAAGATCCTTAGTGGCTCCATAACTAACTAATCAATTTGCATCAGTATAATTTATTATTTAATTATTGTAAATGTCTTTCTCTGGGACACTTATAATTTTAATAATCATCTGTTTGTTCGGTTTGAAAATTTTTATTATACAAAGAGTCTATAAGTGCAAATATTTTCAGGGCTGGTAGATCTCAATAAAATAAACATAATATAATAATATTCTGTTTATCGAGTTTCAAATAGGTCCAATCGAGTTATTAAAGTTTGGAAATTTAAAAAAAAAATGATTTATTTAAAAAAAAATTGAGCCACCTCAATTTTTCGGTATTAGTGCCGTAATATCAGAGATTAAGAAACTATACCGTGGGGAAAATTGGCGGTGAACAAGAAGTTCTAAACAGTTTTCTAAAATATACAGGAACATTTAAAAGAAAATGCTCGATTGGCATTATCATAAAAGATACCAAATGTAGAAAAGTATAGAGGAAAAGTTTCGTGATAAGAACTATATAATAACCTAAAAAATGCTGCAGTTTTAATGGCGACCGCGGTTCATTCAGTTAAAAACACGTGTACGCGAGGAGGCTGCTGCTGTAGCAGAAAAGAGCGAATTTCTACAATGTGTAAGAAAGTACCAAAAAAATAAATGTAATGTATTTCACAAAGGATTGGGTCAGCTGAACTGAATGAATCAGGAAGTCTTAGAGTTTCTCAAAATCGTGACTCAAAATCGTAACCTATTCAAGATCAAATTACTGTTATCGATAATGGAAATAAAGCAGTAGAACCCTGTAAAACTGAGCCATTTTGTAGTAAAAATTCAGATGTCCAACCCAATATTGGTCTTTACGAAAATTTTGATCAAGACATTTTAATTTTTTTTTAAAACGGAGGCAAAAGAGCTTTTTCGCACGAGCGAAAAACACCCTTACTTATATATTAATAAATAAAATATGTTTCTTCGTTATGGTCATTTTGTTTTTGTGGATTTGGGCCGGTTGCCTATTTTTCCCGGACCGGTTTCCACTTCCCCATCCACCCCTGTTGTAGGCCATGCATTTTAGGTTTTAGATTATTATATTAGGCTAGTTTACTATACAGGGTTGTTCACCACATACGACATGGAGTATTGTAGCTAAACGATTAGATTTTTACAAATTGTAAGTTTTGGGTTAGTTGAAGGTCTATTAGAGCTACAATTTAAAAATATTTTTACAAGATACAGAGTGTCCCAAATTAGTAAAAAATATTATAGTTGTATTTTTTTAAATGGAACACCCTGTATATTATTCTATTTTAGGATTCTACGATTGAAATAAAGGTAAATTTGATTCAGGTTTATCACACTTAAACCTCACCGTTTTTGAAATATTTTCAATTTTATGAAATTGCAGTAAAAATTTTAAGGCTTTATTTCTCTCAGGGTATCAAAGTTTTTAATACTAAATATTTACTGAATATTGTTTATTGATCAGATATTGTCTTCCAATAATAAAAATTGTACTACCTTATATAGAGTGTCCAAAAATTTATATTAAATAATTACTAGCTTTAAACGGCAATAACTTGTTTAATTTAAAGGGAACACCCTATATATTTTACGTGAATCAGATGCACAATGTAATTGTCTATCAAATTGTATTACACCATTTTTTACCCATCTCTTCAAGTTTTCGTAGAAAATGAATTTGCTTATAATTTAGATTCTTTCTCATTTATCACTATACCAATGGAATATTGACATTTCAGATTTTTTTATAGCACCATAATATGTACAAAAATGTACAGGTGGTAAATATTGCAAGCCCATTGGCATACAAAAAAACTATTTAAATCTTTGTAAAAGAGTATACCAATTAAATATACCACCATTATTTCCTACCAAAAACACTAAAAATTAGTTAATTACGTACTTTTAAATTGTTTTAATTAATAAATTATTCTAAATAAATGTGGATTTGGCTCAGAAATCAATATAATAATAAGTTATGAAAAAAATTCGTCTATAAATGAAATAAAATTTATAAGGTGTTACTTTTTACCACACTGTCTAATACACACACAAAATTCAGTTTTTTAGTATTTGGAGCAATTATTACTACAACGTAAACAGTCAATTAATGTAGTTTGAATATTGGGATCATTTTAATTGGTCCTCTTTAACTAAAAATATTTAGAGTTTTTATACAATATTAGTATCTGTACCCTTTGAAAATTTGTTACATCTTTAAAAATAAGCTAAAATGTCAATATTCCATGGGTATAGTGATAAATGGGGTCTAAATTATAAAAAACTTGAAGAGATGGGTAAAAAATGGAATAATACAATTTGATAGACAATTACATTGTGCATCTGATTCACGTAAAATATACAGGGTGTTCCATTTAAATTAAACAAGTTATTGCCGTTTAAAGCTAGTAATTATTTAATATAAATTTTTGGACACTCTGTATAAGGTAGTAAAATTTTTATTATTGCAACACAATATCTGATCAATAAATAATCTTCAGTAAATATTTAGTATTAAAAACTTTGATACCCTTAGAGAAATAAAGCCTTATTTTTTTTACTGCAATTTCATAAAATTGAAAATATTTCAAAAACGGTAAAGTTTAAGTGTGATAAACCTTAATCAAATTTACCTTTATTTCAATCGTATAATAATCGTAGAATAATATACAGGGTGTTCTATTTATAAAAATACAACTGTAATATTTTTTTCTTACTTGGGACACTCTGTATCTTGTAAAAATATTTTTAAATTGTAGCTCTAATAGTCCTTCAACGAACCCAAAACTTACAATTTGTAAAAATCTAATCGTTTAGCTGCAATACTCCGTGTCGTATGTGGTGAACAATCCTGTATTATACTAGGTCTGGACACTATCTCCGTGGTCTGTATTTCAATGCATGCGACAGAAATAAATATAAATGACTGGTTGATAGACAAAATAAAATGCGGCATACAGCGCTTTGTGTTTGATAAGTTTGAGTGAACAATGGTTGACAGATAAGCAATGCTTTAAACGACAGTTGTCTACCGATTGGTTCTCAACTGACGTTTAAAACCGTTTATCTGTCAACCATAACCAACGGTTGTTTGCTCGAAACTGGCTTATAATTTGACAAGAGTTTGACAACTCTCAAAAATCTTAAGTCGAGTTCATACATATCGGCATCCGTTTGTCGTTCATCGTTCCATCAAACCAATAATATTGAAATATGATCTGTCATTTCTGAAATAAACCAATAAAACTGGGTAAAAACCACAAGAGACGACGCCATGACGGATTTATATATTTCATATCAATTAAACTTTTAGTTACGTAATCGAGGGCGCGGTTTTTAAATTCATTGTTGCCAACCATGGACATATTAGGTGCCGTGCTGACTAACTGGAATTTAAAATTTGCGCTGGGGATTCAGGTGGTAGCTCTGCTCTAAAAAATATCCAAATTCCGCATTTATTTATTTGTTTCCTGATATTGTCATTTGTTTTGTATTACGAGTTTTTGTTTAAAAAAAAGTAGTGTTGTGATACTTTAAGCTTAAAAGTAGACGTTGCAGTCTTTTAGTGCGAAGTGTACAAGATAGCGTAATAGCCGTAAAAAACTTATCGCAATTTTATTAGAGTATTTTGAACGGGAAAGCGGACTAGCCCTTTATGTCCCTTAAGTGCTGTTAAGAAGGTGAGTTTTATTGATGTAAATAATAACTGTTTGTTTTCTAAAATATTTTGATTAAAAAGAAAATATATAAAAGTGTCCAACGCTGTGCCGGTCAAGCTAATGACGTGACTAAACGTTTATTTGGTATGAACTGTATATAAACCCATCCATAGTTAACTTAAAAAATATTAGAAACTTTTTTTAGTAAAACAAATGGATTTATATGAACGTCATCCCTTTTTTGTTTGTCATCGTCTGTGGAAATCTTACCTTACAAAAAAAACGGAGTATATAATTAAACTTCTTTATTCCACTTATATAATTTAAGTTAATGTTTAATTATCCTAACGTCTATTATATATTTAGATTATATGAAAGTTCCTTGGCTACAGTACAGGCATATGCAAAATGCAACGGAAACAGACTTTCAACTGAAACGTTTGCGGAAGAAAGCAGCTGTCAAGACTTATCTTTAGTTCTAGATGTCTTCACGTGTATTTTATCAAGAGACTGTATTGAATTGTTTCAAGCTACTAATCAACGGGAGCTGGTGAGAGTAAGTACTGCTTTATTCATAACTGTATGGAGTGTCCCATTTTCGTGTTTTTTGCAGCGTTTCTGGTTTATGAGTACAGAGACAAAGATGCGGTTTACGCATCACACTGCTACTTTTTTATGAAACTAAAGATACCTACTACACACAGATTTGTTCTAGCCCTCTTAGTTCCTGAAATACAGGGCATACTTGAAAATGTTGCATTTTTCAACCTCCTTCATATACCGGTTTTCTTATAAAACTTATTTATCTAAAAGGTGAAAACTGACTCATAGTGTAAAGTAACACAGTGATGTGAAAACCGCATCTTTGTATCTGTACTAACGGGAATAAACGGGAAACCCCATTAATAAAGCACACGAAAATGGGACATCCTGTATAAACTGTATGAATGGATACCTTTGAATAAAAAGATTAAGAAAGGAGTAGAATGCTATTCATGTATTCATGCAAGGTAGACGGACAGAGGGTCCTAGGGTGGGGATGCTTGACAGTTTTGTGTAATGATTCATTTGGCACATTTGAATTTGATTTGAAATTGTGTGGATTTGTCGGTCTCTACTGAACTTATTTTATGTTATTTATTCTTTATTCTACTACTGATAGTTGTTTAAAGGTAGTAAATATAGAAGGAAATTGTGGCAGAACTTAAATTAACAGTGATACTATTGCGATTTATCGAAAAAGACTGTAAAATAGTTGATTGTGTAGCGTGTGGTAGATCTTGGTTAAAAATCGATGGAAATAATGGAATAACTTAGCTAGTAAGTGACTATTCATTTATGAAATTCACTTAAAATTATATATTTTTTCTTGTATTTTTTGCTTTCATTTACTACTTGTCAGAGAATTTACATACCTGTAGTCTATAGTACAATATATAAATACCTTTGAATAAAAAGATTAAGAAAGGAGTAGAATGCTATTCATGTATTCATGCAAGGTAGACGGACAGAGGGTCCTAGGGTGGGGATGCTTGACAGTTTTGTGTAATGATTCATTTGACACATTTGAATTTGATTTGAAATTGTGTGGATTTGTCGGTCTCTACTGAACTTATTTTATGTTATTTATTCTTTATTCTACTACTGATAGTTGTTTAAAGGTAGTAAATATAGAAGGAAATTGTGGCAGAACTTAAATTAACAGTGATACTATTGCGATTTATCGAAAAAGACTGTAAAATAATTGATTGTGTAGCGTGTGGTAGATCTTGGTTAAAAATCGATGGAAATAATGGAATAACTTAGCTAGTAAGTGACTATTCATTTATGAAATTCACTTAAAATTATATATTTTTTCTTGTATTTTTTGCTTTCATTTACTACTTGTCAGAGAATTTACATACGTTAATTTGACTTACCTGCCATAGATAAATGAAACAAGTTTAGATTGAAAGTGCCCATAAGGACAATGTAAACACTGTGGCGCTATTCTTACAACGGTCGCGACCCAAAGCTTTTGAAAATTTCGGAGTGGTCCTGCTTTTTCCGGAATTATATCGCCAAATATTATTTATTCAAATTTATTATTATTTCCTTTTAATTTTATAAATAAATACAGTGTGTTGCATACAAGAAACTTTCTTTTATATAAGGACATGTCGTATGAAATACCTATGAAACATTGAAAACCGACGTTATACCACTATCCACGATGGTTTTGCAGTTTACAGCACAGCTTTTTAAGTTTTTAATGCCACTTTTTTCACAATTATCACGGGTTTGTGTAAATAAAACTTAAATTAAACTCACAAGATAGCAATAATTATTTTGAAAATGGACGCTTTAACACTTTTCGGAATTTTTTCATTTGGAGCGGTTTAGATTTTGAAAGATTTTATATTTTTGAAGATTTTGACTGTGACATGAAATTTGGACAAGTGAAAATTATTTCTGTTTTTTGTTTGCGGTTGTTCTTAGCAACCGCTAGAGCAACACCAGATCGCGTACAACGGTCGCGACCCAAAACAATTTCGCAACCTAAAATTTTGACGGGCATTCTAATCTAAATTTATTTCCTTTATCTATGTTACCTGCTTTAGTAGCGTGTCGGATGTTTGTGTTAATAAATAATTATTATAACTTACCTATTTTTTATTAGAATTGTATATTTTTATCTATGTTACCTGCTTCAGTAGCGTGTCGGATGTTTGTGTTAATAAATAATTATTATAACTTACCTATTTTTATTAGAATTGTATATTTTATAATTCAATTTTAATAACCACCAACATTTATTGATAACGTAAAATAAAACAACAAATTATTGAGCCTACCCCATGTCTACCCTACATCATATTTTTACACGTTTTGAATAAAATTAGAACGGCACTGATAAACCGGAATTTAAGTCGGCCATTCTAGAGTCCCGTCGCAGTCAATGTAAGATTTTGATAATAATATGCTCCTTTCTTATCTTTTCATTCAAAGATAAATACAATGATTTTACAGGTTACAGCTGCAGACGTCGCTCTTTTTGGGCTGAATTTCATTATGCCGTTAATGACACTGGAACTTCTGAAATTTCCGAACTTGTGTGCCCAGTTCTATCATCTTTGGTGCTCATCAACGACATTTATCCCGAAAAGATAGCCAATCTCCCACAGGATATGCTTGCGAGTCTGTTAAAAAACCATTGAACTGGGTTTGACTGATTTTGGTAACGATATTGCCCATACTGCTCTGGATTTCATACATGGTAAATGTTTGTTCACATGTGACAAACCGTTTTATAACATATTAAAACAATAATTGAAAATAATTCGTTATACAAGGTGTCCCAGGCTGAGCATACATTAGAAGTTTCTAAGAGAACTACAATATCTAGATCGGAGATTTTTGCACGTCATTGTTTCACAATGAGATCTATTGATTAAAAATAGTTTCAATATGGCGGCACTTCCGGAAATACCGGAAATTAACAGCAACTTTCTTATTTTAAATGAGTACCCCCATTTTTATTACTTATTTAGATTCTCTGTCAAATTTTATGAATATTTATGTCAGTCTATACCTAACATTAACGGTTTTGAGAAAAAAAAATATATAAAATGACTTGACTTGAAATAAAATGATTTAAGTCAAAGACTTAAGACTTAAATCATTTGAACTTTATGTTGAATTTGACTTAAGACTTTTTTGCTCTGCCCTGTATAACGGTTATATTTTTTAATGCATGGTTAAAATTTGTTACCTTTTAGACGCATTGCTTGACCTCATCGCGGTTGCACTATTTACAAGATTATTACGGTAATATTGTAATCGCAAAACATTTTTCGATGCACGTCATCAATCATATCGATATTGACACTTAAGTCTATAAACCTGACTAAATGAAATTTTGCTAAAAACGTTTAAATTTTTTTTATAATTTAAGATACCGAGCAGCTCTTCATTTTACTTTATAGAGCAAATGATTGTAACAGATATCTTATTTAGATTAAAGCTGCAAAAATTAGTTTAAACCGAATTTTATTATCGCTATGTTGGTCACATTGTGCCGTTTTCAACAAGGTTGTCGTTTATTATTTGACAATTATCCTAATGTCAGTCATTATTTTGTATAATATCGTGTGGTTGAATCTTTGTGAGTAATTCTCGTTTTTTTGCCTATTTTCATTGTCTTTTTAAAAATTGTACTTTTAAGCACAAACAGTTCTTTTAAGAACTAAATTTTCGAGTTTTTGTATTGCATTTCTTGAAACTGTGTGTTGAAATATGCCGAAGCATTTAAACAGTCGAAGCAGAGAGCTTGTAGCTTCCCTGATAAACTATTTTGAACGAGAATGTGACAATAAAGGTCCTTTATTACCCTTGACTGCAGTCAGAGAAGTAAGTTTGATTGGATAAGCACATTACACCACTTTCAAAGTTATTTCTACGTTAGTTTTTATTAAATTCTGTGATTATTAGTTTATGCATTAATAGTAGAGATGAGCAGAAAATCGCAAACTGCGATTTAATCGCAGCGATTGTAAATTCGCAATTGCAACCTGTGATTCCTTTCCATAGCAAACTGCGACTTGCGATTGAAACATATATCTGCCGATTTTGGATTTTTAGGCAACCAATATTACACCAGTTGCGATTTGCAATCGCAGTGGGCACGCGAACGAAGAGCTGCGAACGAAAATCACAGCATTGCGATTTTCGTTCGCACCGGCGTTGCATCGACACGGCACTGAGAAGCCGAACGATGAGCTGCGAACGAAAATCGCAATATTGCGATTCTCGTACGCCCCGGCCGGCGGCGGCGCGTCTTCAACACGGCAGTGGACAGGCGAACGAGGAGCTGAACGAAAATCGCAGCTCATCCCAGCATTGCGATTGCGATTGCGGCATCGGGAGTGGGCACGCCAACGAAGAGCGGCGATTGCGATTTTCGTTCGCAGCTCCCAACACATCGGCCTAGACTAGATCGCAAAATCACATTCGCAATCAGGGCCCCGTAATTTTTTGAAGCGTTGGAAAATAGGCTTATATATGTTTATATACCGCATAATATATATAATTTATTAGTTTTAAATTTTGATAATAGTTTTAGATTTATAATATAATTATGGATTGAGAAGGTTAAAAAATTCTTGTTTTCGGTTATGACTAATTATAGTTACAGTTGCTCCCCGGTAATGATTCAGGTAAAATGATTGATAAGGACAGTTTTGGATTCAAATTATAAAAAATTATCTATTTTTATCCTTTATTTACTAGAAGATATAGAGCACGGAAAAGAAACATCCCTTTTTATTTATTATATTTTGTTATATATTATATTATTATAAACATTTTTATAACAGTCCATAATATAATATAATTTTCTGAATATACTAACAGTTGTGGATCCGCTGCTATGTTAATTTAAATACATCCTTTACAATCAGTTTTTTCATTTTAGAGAAATTTTAAATATAAAATGTGATATTGTCCTTTATTTATCTAAAAGTTCGAAAGTTTGCACTTGCACTGGACGGGCCGTATCAAAGCCGTCGGCGTCGGCTTCTTTTGAGTTACATATAAAGAAAATGTTTTTAAAAGAAAACAAGATAAAATAAACAGTTTTTTTCTAGTTATCTGAATTAAGGTTGGCGGCAACCTTTTTTATAATAAATTTTTCGTTAGTATACCTACTGTCTAAAAGCACATTCGAATATTTCGAACATTATGTATTTTTAATTTCCCTTTTAAATTTATTCGGTCTGTTCTAATCAAAAATGTTTAAAAAAAGGAAACTAAGTTATTTGTGGATTTTTTTTTGGTAGGTAATTGATGAAAATTTTAAGTGCAATATGTGTGCAGCAAAAATATCGCACATAAAAAACACGCACTACAAATTTTAAAAGGCACATGGCATCGAAACACCCAACAGTTTCTTTGTAAGTTTTTATTAAAAAAAAATATTCCGCTATTTATTCTGTTTTTTATTAGAAATTTTGGGATTTAGCTTCCCAGATTACAGCGTACCAATTTAAAAATATCAAAATCGCAATCGCAGGTTACAGTCGCAGCGATTTATAAATCACAATCGCAGTTTCAACTGCGATTGGAAAATCACAGTTTTGCTCATCTCTAATTAATAGCACCCTCTTACTTGTTTGTACCATTTATGGCGTTGTAAGGTGTACATCAATAAATAAATAAATAACCCATAATAACGCTTAGAATAATCTTCGTAATGGACTAGTTTTTGCCCATATGTAATAAATAAAATAAGCTATAAAACAAATAAATCAATTAATTACTAAAATATTAGTTATTAAATTAAAAATAAAAGAAACGTAAATATCTTTAAAAAATGATATAATAAATATATTGTTTGTCACTCTTAAATTACGATTCATCTCATAAATCCATCACAATCTGGCACCGCAGTCGCCATCGCTTGTCACTCAAAGTTGATAACGTGCATCGGAAATTGTTTGCGATTACCATATTTATTATTTACAGGAATGTCGATATACGTATTCCAGAAGCAAGGTCCAGGATACTCCATTCGGCTCAGCCGTAAAGCGTTCCTTAAACTCACGATGGACTTGGCCTTGTCACATCAGTTCAACTCTGACATGATGAGTAATGTTTCGGCCACAATATACTGTCTGATATGCAGCTTCGAAGACGAATACCAGATGTTAGTCCAAACCCTTATTCATCTACAATCTGACCCTTTGGTTGCCGAACGATTGTCCGGCTTTCGAGAACCTAATCCAAGGCGTTTGCTGGACTAATCAGAGGGATTACAGGTTGAGATTTAGGAATAACTTTGAAAAGTTTATAGCGAACGTGCACGGATTCCTTTTGGTTAAGTAATGAAGGCGGATCGAGTACTTAACAGTGTTTCTATTTTAACGAAAAAAACATGGTCCTAATGAGTTTTATTTAGGATATATTTTAATCGAGATATTTTTTTTTATCTGGAGGCTATATCAAACGAACATAATAGAGGGGTAGGACAAAAATTCATGGCGTCACAATTGTAGATTAACATTTTATATTAGCATATCGATATTTCGAGAAAATTCTATATATACATGGTGGTCCGGCATTGTATTCCGGAAATTTCGGCAGCATATTCTGCAGATAAAAATAAGTAAAAAAGTTCATATAAACGTCTGTCCTAAAATGCTTAGTTTCGGAGATACAGGGCATTGAAGTTTCATTTTTATTTCGATTTTTTCGAAATAATTTATGAGTAAGTAACGTCAATATTTGGATGAAAATTGATGTCTGGGAGTTTTTTGACATGAGTAATTTAATTTTGATGTCAATATTTCTCCTATTTGTAGGGGACGCCACCTACATGTATTTTAACTTTTAACTGTTGTGAAGAGTTATAACTTTTCGTCCGTACCTGTATAAAACTAGTGAGTGAAAAAATATACATTCCCGTGATTTTTTAAGTAAAAAATTCTTTTGATAAAAATTGTTAGGAGCAACCGTTCTCAAGATATTTAGAATAGAAATAGTCAATACATGTTATTATTGACAAAAAGTCAACATGTTGAATAGATAGTTATTTGACTGAAATGATAAATTTGGGAACTTTTTTTTAATTAAGCATAAATTTTTCTTGGAAAAAATGACGATAAAACAGTTTCTGTTGAACTTTTGGGACAAAATCATTTCGAATTTATGATTTCAGTCTAATAGCTATTTAATCAACATGTTTAATTTATGTCAATGATGACAGGTATTGATAATTTCAGTTCAAATTAACTCGAGAACCATTACTCGTAGCGATTTCCACCGAGGGATCTTTTTTACGTGAAAAACGTCGCAAATGTTTATTTTTTATTCAATAGTTTTATACAGGTACGGACGAAAAGTTATTACTCTTCAACCCAGTTAAAAATATGTAGGTGGCGCCCTCTAGAAATGGGAGTTATATTGACATCAAAATTTAATTTCTCATTTCAAAAAACTCCCACACACCAATTTTCATCCAAATATCGAAGTTACTTCTGAAATTATTTGGAGAAAATCGAAATAAAAATGAAACTTCTACACCCTGTATCTCCGAAACTAAGTATTTTAGGACGAACTTTTTAATATCCATATCTTTCTCTTTATCATTACATTATAACTCAATCAATTGCTTC